GTTGGCGTAATGGCTGTATCACTGGACTCCCATGTAGTTGACCGCGGTTTGAGTCCCAGACCTGGTGGCTTAAACTCATGCTGGGCACATGTGCATACATGCCCAAGGTCCCGAGAGGAGAATGGAAGAGAAGGGATTGCGGCGTGACCATCCCCCAGGGGGTGATTTCTCGCTTTCTGTCTCTCTGTCTCTTTCTTTCTGGTGAGTGCACATGCCCTGTAGGAAAAACCTCTCCAAAAAAAAAAAAAATTCTCAATTTGAACTTGGCCCTCCAGATTGTTATGAAGGGACACATGTCCAGGCAGGAGGCTAGAGCGTTTACTTAATCGCTCATGAGCGTCAGTAAGGTAACTGTTGGGACACGCAGGCTTCTGATTCTGTGTCCCAGTGGGAGGGACTGCGGGGTCACTCACTCTTCCTTTCCCCCAACAGTCCGAGCACTTCAAGACGACCTCGCAGAAGGTGGCTCGGAAGTTCTGGTGGAAGAACGTCAAGATGATTGTCGTCATCTGCGTGATCGTGTCTATCCTCATCATTGTCATCGTGCTCCTTGCCACTGGTGTCATCCATTGAGTAGCTTAGGGAGCCCTTCCCAGCCCGCCCCTTTCTTTGGGGGCATCCCTCCATGATGGGTGCCAAGAGGGGCCCCCTCTCCTGTCATCTCCCACAGGAATGCTGCTTGGTCCTCCTGCCCCTCTGCCACTTCGTATGCTCCAGGGAGCACCTCGGTCCTCCAGCAGGAGAGAGCTGGACTGTGGCTGCTTTTCACAGACCGTAGAGTGGGTTGAGGTGACCAGAGGGCCCAGCGTGTGGCTGGGAAACTGTTGGTGGGTGGCAGGCAATAAAGACCTTTCAGTATCTCTCTGTGTGAGGCACGTTCACCCACCCCATTTCACCTTTGCCTCCTGAGGCCACCCTGTGGCTCAGGTTCTCCCATTCGAGACCCAAGTGTGTTTTGAGAATGAGTGGGACCTCCCTGTCTTTGTTCCTCTCTGGTCCATCCATTGTCATAGGTGTCTAGAGCTGGAATTTTCCAGGGGGTCCTGGCATATAGACAGTCCAAAACCTGGGACCAGCAGATGGCATAATGGTTATGTCGCTGGACTCCCACATGGCTGACTGTGGTTCGAGTCCCAGACCCGGCAGCTTAAAACTCATGCCAGGTGCATGTGCATGCGTGCCCAAAATCCTGAGTGGAGAATGGAAGAGAGGGGATTGCAGAGTGACTTCACACCTGGGAGGGGGGGTGATTTCTTGCTTTCTGTCTCTGGTGAGCATACATGCCCTATAGCAAAAAATGTCAAAAAAAAAAAAAAAAAAGAAGAAGAAAAGAAAGAAAATCTGAAACTACAGCACACAGCATTTGAGAGTAGCATACGATTTTTTTTTTCCCTTTGGTTTTGCTATCGGGTCTGTGTACTATCTGGGGGAAAAGAGAAAATGAGAAATCACCCCCCAGGGAGCATGGCCACACTGCCGTCCACTCTCCATTCTCTAGGGATTTTGGGCATGCATGCACACGGGCCTGTCATGTTTTCCAAGCCCCTGGGTCTGGAATTTGAACCATGCCTTCAGTCATACGGAATCTAACCTCCTTAACCTCCAGCCACTTGCAGGCCCAAGCATGAAAGACTATTTCTTTTTCTTTTTCTCCTTTTTTTTGGTAGAGGTTTTTGCCTTTGGGTGTGTGCACTTGCCAGAGGAAGAGAGAGGGATAGAACCAGTGAGTGGGAAAGTGAGAAATCACCCCCTAGAGTGGATGGCCACACCACAATCCCTTGTCCTCCATCCTCCTCCTGGAATCTTGAGTATGGACACACACACATACCTGGTGTGAGTTTCAAGCCACCACGTCTGGGACTTGAACAGTGGCTGGCTATGCGGGATATAACCACTATGCCATCTGCTGGCCCCACATGCAAGATTATTAAGTGATCCCTTGGGTCCTGCCATATCCCTTTAAAAAATAAAAAGTTATTTCTTCCATGAGAGAGACAGGCACCCCCAACAAGGTCGCCTCATTGTCCTTCACATCTGGCCTCAAGTGGCTCTTGATCCCAGGGAGCCATGTGCCCTGGCATATTCAGGGAGATCTCTGGATACAAAGCTGAGACCTTCCCATGAAGCTCAGCCTCAGGGTTTTGGGATTTGCAGCTGCACCACTGTCCAGTCCCTTGCCACACCCCTTTATTACTTCGTATCTGGAATTGCTAGATGAGCCGTGGAGCCTACTTAGAGCATTTAGGACCTGGTTTAGGCCCTCCTGCCTCCACCATTGCCATATCTCTTCTATGGCCCAGTTGCAGTGTAGAGCTGAAGGTTGGGGTGGCTGGACTGCTTTTTGTCTTCTTGTGGTGCCGCACGCTCTGTTTTCCTAGTGTGCTCCTTTGTCTGCTTGCTGGGACCAGCAGGGCCTCTGGGCCTCAGTTGTTCAAGGGGGACATGCATTTCATCCCATGCTGGGCTCAGGCAGTGTCACAGGACAAGGCCTGTGGCCCTCCTTCCTCTCCAGGCACAATGAGCCTTCTGTCTTCGGGCCTTCCTCCTCCCCACCAGGTTCCACCGTCATTGTCTGTCCTGGCCGCCTTGGTATGTGGGGAGTGTCCTTGCCATCTCTGTCCTTGTCTCCCTCGTAACCTTTCCCGAATTCGAAACAACCGGTTATAGGGAGGAATCGGGGTAGGGGCAGGGATGAGGGACAGGATTTGGGAAAAGTCGGATTCTGGAATCATTCCCTGAAATCTGGGGGAAGAAAGCACAGAAAAGGCTATGTCCACTCTCTCTCTCCTCAGTCCCCCTCTGGACTCACGGTCCAAGAAACTGGGGGGGAGTCTCTGGCTTGGGAACCACCCATCTGGGGCAGGGTGCAGGTCTGTGAAACACTCCTTCCTTGGGTCGTCTGTGGCACAGAGGCTCAGCCCAGGGAGGGAAGCCCTTAGCCCCTCTTGGTTAAAAGGACCTCACCTGAACTGTAAGGGGGAGGCATGAGTGGGGTGGACAGCAGGCAGCTGGTGACATCTACAGCAATGAGAGGAGAGGAGGGGTAGTGTCAGCCCTGGAAGGCTCTGGAGCCGGGGCAGACACACCAGCTTCCTTCACCACTTGATCCGGTTCATGCCATGGCAGAGATCTCTGCCTTCCTGGTGAACACAGAGACACAGAAAAGCTCTGGCTAGCACCTTCCCCATGGGGGGTCCCCGTTCTTTTTAATCCGAGGTGAAATTTGCTGAGCATACAGCTTGCCATTTATTAAAGAATTATTTATTTATTTGTTTATTTAATTTGACCAGAGAGAGACAGAGAAGGAAAGTGAAAGCAAAAGCGGGCAGGTCCAGGACTAGACTCACAGTCCACCCTGTGGGAGTCCAGCCTCTTAACCTCCACACCTCCTGCGGGCCCCCAGTTTGCCTTTTTAAAGTACAATTTAGTGGCATGTAGTGTATTCAGAATATTGTGCAACTGCCACTCTGGTTTCGAAACGTTGAGTGTGCGTGTCGGGTGGGTCTGTTCTTGGTTATGGGTGAGGTGCACTCACTGAGGTGAAGACGCTGCCTGCTTGTCCAGGGCGTCTCTGGCATCCAGCTTCACCACCACACTTGAATGAATGAACGAGTGATGCCTCTCTGGCCACCTTGGACCTACCCGATCTGGGATGCAGCCAGCCTTATGGAAGGTTCCAGCGCCTACTCCACCGCGCCCATTTCATAGCTGGGGCTCCAAGTGCGCCTAGCGGGCAGACCTGGCCCCAGAACGTCCAGGCACAGCAGTTCCTAATTCTCCAGCCTGGGGTGTCATCCGAAGCCAAGCGCCGGCGGTCCAGGAAGAGGCACACCATAGACCTGGGTCGCTGTAGTCGGCTGCTTTCGGTTTGACCGGGTCTCGGTCGCTGATCTCGGAAGGCGCGCCCCCCGCCCTCACCGAGAGGGCCGGCCCCGCCCCGGCCTCCGCTTCCTCTGGGGCAGCTGGCACTGCAGCGATCAGAGGCGCCGGGACGAGGTGGCGGCGGCGACGATGGTGAGAGTCCGGGCGGCCGGCAGAGCGGGACAGAGCGCGGAGTGGAGGGTGGGAGACAGGAGTCGGAAGTCCGAGGGCGGGGGCGTCCTCCCGCACCTGCGCTGGCTAGACCCGGAGAGGGGACCACAGCTGGGAGCTGGACGAGATCCAGACCCCAGTGCCCCTCGCACAGTGGGAGGGAGTGAGCTGTGCGTCCTGTCGGGGCTGCCCCCATGAGCGAGGCTCGGGCTCCAGTCCCCTAGGACTGAAGTGGCTAAGGGCACCAGGCCGGGATCTCAGCGCTGTGACCCTGGGCAAGTCACTTAACCTCCCCGAGCTTCCCTTTCCGTAGCTGGAAAGTGGGGTCAGCAATACCTGGCTTGCTGGGTCCTTGGAACAGTGCAGCCACCCGGAACCCACCACTAAGTGGTCAACAGTGCGATGACCTCTTCAGCCGCTCGTGCTGGTGCTCGTGCTCGGGGCTGTGAGCAGCCAAGCCTGGCCCAGGAGCTGGAAACCTGAGCAGATGGGGAGGTAGAGGCGGTTCCAGCTCCTGGCAGGATGTTTGTTACAGGGCAAACTCCTTCCCCAGGGAAA